TTTGCCAAGCGATGCATTGATTCAGTTAGCAGCGCCCAACGCCGCAGTCGCCGCGTGTTGGCCTTCAAAAAGTGCTTTCGCCCGAAGTGGGAACTCAGCCACGTAGAGCTGGAGCTAAACAGAAAATCACAAAAAAATAGAAAGCAAAGAAACGAAACAACAAATAAGCACTCGGGCTAAAAAGCTGGCAAAAAATGACTACAAATGGATATACAAATGGAAATGCAGAAAGTGCAGCAGCAGCAGCAACAGCAGCAGCAGCAGCAACAGCAACAGCAGCAGCAGCATCAAAAGCCAGCGGAAATGGACAGTAAATAAATGTTTACAATTTTTCTGTTGCGCCTGCTTTAGTTGGGTATCATTTCTTTTAGTTTTTTGTTTGCCTTTGGCACATAAATATTCCGGAAATTGTGTAGCCGCTGGCAAAGTAATGGCCAAGGCACTGCTGCTGTTGCTGCTGTTGCTGCTGTGGGCCCATGGAGAACGTGGCCAAATCAGAGCTTACTCTGAAGCACAAGAAATGAGTATATGAATAATGTGCTAAACACTCGCAGCTGCTGCTCAGACAAGCAAATTTCATTACTGCCAGCCAGGCGCTGCTCTTATTTCTTGCATTTCTTATTAAAACTTTCGTTTATTTTTTACCTATTCAAGGGACTTTAGTATGCCTGAGAGCCTCGCCTTAGCTGAGAGCCATTGCATTTCTCATTGCATAAAATACCTACATATACAAGGTTATATGTGGCACTCAGCGCAGTCAGCTCGTTGACTGACCTATTAATTACGAGTCCATCAGAATCGCATAAATTCCGTCATTCATCAATCATATAGCATTATTATATAACTTGCAAACTTGTCTTCAAGTTCCCAATTATTAATAATTTTATTATCAGTCAAGTCAAGCACAAATCCATCATCATCAATCATTACATCAGTTAATCTACTATCAACCAACAATCAAGTAATCTATCAGTCATAAGCTCATCAGTTAATCAATCAGCCTAATAACCCACTCATCAGTCACCATCAATCAGTTTCTGTACATGGATTTGTGAGTCAGTAAATCAGATCCATTCAGTCAATCATTTGGTCAATCATTTAGTCAGTCAATTCAATCAGCTTATGGATGCAACAGTTGTTGCCTCAATCATTGAGTCAATCAAACAGCCCATCAGCTGGTCAATCTATAGCAGATGATAGGCAATCAGTCAATCATTTGGTAGCTCAATCAATTATTTTAGCACTTATTCTAACATATGCTGCATCAGCTAATCAATCAATCACTCCATCAGGCAATCATTCAATTTATCCACCAGTTTATCATACAGCACATCGAAAAGTCCAATCGATCTGTCAATCAGCTTATCCAACAGTGCATCAAATGACCTATCAATCAGTCAGTTGATCATCAGTTTGGCAATGAGTAGAAGGATTGGTAACTCAGTCAATCAGCCAGTGCGACGACTCCTGCGACGATGCCCTGGAGTAGTTGGCTTAGTATCGTTAGCTTCTCATTAAAGGCATCAGCCCGATGAAACAAATGCCAAATGCAGCTGCATACTTCAAGTCCTGGTGCTATTTCTGCAGTCTGCTTGAATACATTTATGTGCATGCAAATAAATTTATTTATAATTTAGGAGGGAAAAAAAAATAAGAATTATACTTGAAGGCAACAGCAGCGGCAGCAGCTTTCGAGAGACAAGTAGTGCAATTACTGCATAAGGTACTTGTAACGAACCAGTGCTGATGCTGCTCCTGCTGCTCCTCCTCCTCCTGCTGCTGCTGCTGCTGTTCCTCCTCCTCCTGCTGCTGCTGCTGCTGCTGCCAACTGCCAACTGGCACTAGGCTGTTCCCGTTACTCTCTCTATCTGCCCCGCTCACCCTCTCTCTCTCCCCTTGAGGGTCACTTTGTTGCCGAGCGCTGAACTAATTTAAGGCAATTATTTGTGCCACCCGCTGCCGTTGCACAGCGAGCCTGAAAGACTTAATAAAATGGATAAAATGTTTCCTTAATACCTATATTTATATACATACATATATTTAAATATGGATATATGTATATGTGTGTGTGATAGTGTATGACCTTTAAGTATTTGAGTGTGCATGGAAATTCAGCTTAAGCAATTGAATTTCAAGCTAGATTGTGATTGCAATAAATTAAGTGTAATAAATCAAATTTTATATTAAAGAAAAATCTTAAGCTAGTGCAAAAAAATAAATATATAAAAAACAAAATAATTTTTATTCATTTTCAATTTATTTTATTTTGCTGTGTAGATTATATAATAAATGTGCCTCCTTATATTTTTACTTAAGAGCCCTGTTTATTTTCTAACACAATAAATGTTGCTAAAGAAAATTATGACAAAATAATTTATTGCAAAAGGAGTTTATTTAAATAAATAATTATTTATTTATTTAGTATATTTATAATATAATATTAATTATATTTTTGAATAATGTCATTTGTATAAATTTTTTAATTTTCTGCCTTAAGATTATTATTATAATTATTATTATTATTATCATTATTATTTATTATTTTTTATTTCTATTTTTATTTTTTAATGAATGTATGCTCTACAAATATTTGAATGTTTTAATATAAATATTTAGATTTATATTCTATCATATTTTCTCGATGGCTCACCCGATAAATTTTTATCGAGAATAAATATTCTTATCTTTAAACCAAAATAGCTTGTTTATTTATTTATTATTTATTTTTTTTTTTTATTTAATTTTTGTAAAACATAGCTATAACATACTTTTGACTTCATTAAATATATATTTATTTATTTATTTATTTTTTGGTTTTATAACTATATTTAATTTAACTGTATTTAATTTAAATATTTTTAGTAAATATTTATTAATGAATTTTTCTGAATATTATCAGCGGAATATTAATCATTTTATGGGTTAAAATGAATTCGATTTGAAAAGAATGAGGTTTATCTAGAATTAAATGTAATTCATTTTGTGATTGTTGCTAAATATAGAGATATGATGGAATTTTATTTATAATTAGCAGGTGACTCTCTGTCTCTCTCCCTCCAACTATCTCTGCCTCCATCTCCCTCTCTCTCTTACTGTTTGTCTCTCTTTGTCGCCGTTATACTTTGAAAGAACTTCAAGGATAATCGCTTGTTTTGCTTAACTTGGGTCGAGCCTTCATTTGCTGGGCGTGGCAGTCGCCTCCGCCCACAACTCGCATTTGAGCATATTTATTCATATTAATTTGTGCGCGCCCAGGTAACTGTGTGTGTGTGCTGGTGTGTGTGTGTGTGTGTGCAGAGTTTTCGTCTAAGGCGCAGCATTCATTCAGTCATTTGCAGTGTCCGTTGCCATTTAGTGCACTTATTCATTAAAATACAGAAAAAAGGAGAATAGGCGCAGCAGCGGTATCTCTCTCTCTCTCTCTCTCTCTCTCTCTCTCAATGGAGACGATTGCGAAACAAGAGTGAAAATGAATGAAATAAAAAATGTAAACATACACAAGTGCAATGCAAATTAAAGCAGACAGCAAAGTGGCTGCTCCTGTACGCTCGTGCAGGACAAGTGGCACAGCCAGGCGGTGGAGCGGGGGCTAGGGTGGTGGTGGCTAGGGCAAACGGAATGCTGGCAGTGGGGCAAATGTGGCCAACGCCGACTGATGCCATGGCGAAAGTTAGATGGAAACAATGAGCAAAGCAAAAGGGATTGTGGGCGATGGAGGAGGCGTGGCAGCGTGGGTGGCTGAATGGGGCGAGTGAGGGAGTGAGAGAGAGAGAGAGAGCGGCATGGTGTGGTTGAGGCACGGCAGCAAGTCCTTGCCAACGCGAAGAGGCAATTCATTAGCTTTAATTTAGGTAAATGTCCTTGGTCCTTGTGGTGCTGCCTCTTGTGGCGAACGTTGCAAATGCAACTAAAATGTTGCGGTTACCTCCATTTTCATTTGCTTACCACATTTGCGTATGTGTGTGTGTGTTTTATGAGTGTACTCGTTATGTTCTCTCTGGCAGCTCACTTAATATTTAAAGCCATCAAAAGTCGTGCGAGTGGCACATTCAACAGCAACGCCAGCTGCCTAAATTACCCAATTAACAAATTAAATTGCATTTCGCTTGATTTATGTGCATTCGGCTTTAATATTCAACAGATAAACGTAATATGCATAATCGAATTTGATTGATTGAAATCGTTGAATTTCCGCTCAGGTTCAGTGCATTGCATTTGATTGGGCTTGAGAGCTATGCGAGATTGTCTCTAAAGAGGGCTGGAGCGGGGCTCTACGACATACAGCTTGCAGTTCATTCCGCTCTTTGATCTGTTAGAGGCAGAGCCAGGCCTACCAGGGTTACCTACAGGGTTACCTTGAGCACCCGAATGGATCTGGGGCTGTCCATAGTGCAGCAGCGGCTTTACGATGTCATCTATGTAGGTCTCTGTAACGGTTTCAGCCTGAGTTCTCAAAGTAACTCTAGCACTGATGGGCTAGATATAATCCTAGTAGGCCTTGCCGGACCCAATGCTCATTTTTGCTCCATCAAAGTAGCTTATGGGCTTTCCCTAACCCACATTTGCTCCGACTACAAACCGTATTTCTCATTCAATATCAAGTGCTTCAGCTGTAAGCATCACATATTAACAAATACAGGAAAAAAATATTTAGTTTTTCAAGTGAAATAGAATAAAAACAAAAATTTCTCATTTTTGGAAATATAAATATCTCTTATAAATATTCGACAATAATACAACGTGAGTATGTGGGAAAATTCATTCAATTATCATGGAAAGTCCTCACGTTTCGGTTCACTCTGCAGAGATCTCACCGGGCGAATAATCGTAAAACAGAAATACAATCTCTAGGCAAATACGTAATACTTTCGATATACACAACTGACGTTGCGTCCAGGCGGATATTTCAGTGGTCTAGTCTAGTTTCCCGTAGCCCAAGTGAGTATGCTGAGAGTGCGAATGGCACACAACGTGATCTCAGTTTCGTCCAGCTATAGCCAATGGATACCGTGTCGGAGATAGAGCTACCCAAGAAGATGGTACAGCACCATCGACTCCTACATCGCTTCGTCAACTTGGATATGGAGCATTTGGTGATGAAAACGGCAGACAAGGAGGACATTGGCCTGACAATGCTGGAGAAGTTCCTCACAAAGAGCGAGCCGGATATTCTGATCGTGGCGGGCGACACCACGTACGGCTGCCATGCCGTGGTGCTGCGCCACTTCTGTCAGCTCTGCGAGAACGTTTACCCCACCGGCCTGATCACCGCCCTGCCGAAGCATCTCACCAAGGAGGCCTTTCTGCTGGCCTACGACTACATGCTGCTGGGCGAGATCCGTTGCAAGCGCTGCCAGTTGCTGGAGCTGCTCGACGTCGCACGCTACTACTTCATACCGGGGCTGGTGGACAGCATCATCAATATGTTCGGCGATCGCCAATTCCATACCGAAATGGACGCACTGAACATGTACTTCTTGGCCAGCGGCAAGAAGAAGCTGGGCATCGCCCGGATGATGATGACCCGTGTGCAACGGTACTTTCTGCCGATGATCAGCACCAAGGAGTACCGCGGCATGCCTCTGGGCTGCGTACTGAGGCTGCTCTCCTCCAACACCCTGGCCGTGCAGCACGAGATCGAGGTGTTCTACGCGGCCCTCTACTGGCTCTTCGCCGACTACAACGGCCGTAAGGCGCACCTGAACTTGCTGTTCCGCACGGTGCGCTTTATCATGATGCCGACGATGTTTATCTTCAATTTGGCCAACCGCCTGCACGAGATGCTGCCCCGCTTGGCCGACGAGCTGCAGCCGTTCCTGGACAGGGCCATGCTCTATTTTCAGAGACGCGCATTGGACGGCGAAAACAAGGACGAGCTGCTGCTGCGCCCACGCTGCTGGATCACCGATCCGGAGTGCCCCTACACACAGCGCAAGAAGTATCTGAAGATGTACGGCTTTAAGCACATTGATTTTCTCGCCTACGTCACTAGGCTGCGCAGCATGGAGGACTTTCTGGCTCGCATAACTCTCAACTGAACGCGTTTGCTTACAGTTAGTTTCCACATGCGCTTGATTTGAATAACGTAACGTAACGTAACGATAGTAATAAATGATGGCAACACTGCCCGGCTCATGCCACATTTCACCCACCTGCTGACTCCTGCTCGCATCTAATCTGCGGCGCTCAATTGCCTTGACAACCTCGTGCGGCATCTGAATCCGCTTAAATGTCGATTGCAGTTTACATTTCCAGCTGGCTGCGACTCGAGTTGCCGCAGTTGCCGCCGTGCAACAAAAAGCACAGCTAGCTGAATGCAGCCTGCAACGTGCAGCCGTTGCCACAGCCGTCCAATTTGTGTGTGGGCGTGCCAGCCTCCCAGCTGCATTCTCAGCCAGCGTGACATTGGCATTCCCTCTCGGTGTGCCCAAGGCCCACATAATGCACACACACACACTCTCTCTCTCTCTATCTCCCTCTCTCTCTCTCTCTCTCTCTCTAGCTTAGCGCTGTCCAGCAGCAATAAATCATGCGAGGCCGAGCCGAGCTGCAGCGTCTGCCTAATTAGATAATGTCAGCAGCACGCAGCGCGTCATTTCCTGCACAGGATCTGGGCCTACGCTGCCCGAGTGGCTCTGGCTTCTGGCTTCGGGCGTCTTTACACCCACACACACACACACGCACACTTCAGCATGTGTATGCGTGTGTGTGTGTGTGTGTGCATATTCTTGACCCCAATTAAATTTAAATCATTTGAGTGCTTCCAAAGTAAAACTAATTGCTTTTGCTGGCTCGCCTTAGACCCAGCTGAACCTCTCCATTCCCGCTGTCCCGCTATCCCTCTGCCCTGCGCCCACGCCCTCGCATTGTGGCAGCCTTTGCCATTGTCTCGAGTAGCCCATTCATATTAACTCGACTGTTGTTGTTGTTGCTGCTGCTGCTGCTGCTGCTCAATTTGCCAGAGCAATTTCCAATTGCCATGCGCTTGTGTAAATCTTGCAAATGTTAAGTGCGACAACAACAGTTGCTGCTGCTGCCGATGTTGTTGCTGTTGTTGTAAAAAAGTTGCTGCTTGCTCTTGTTTTAATTCAATTTGTCAGACCGCAAATAAATAGACACTTAAATGCCGCAGCGTCTGCATCCGCCCGGCACAAAATGTTATTATAATTCACTTCTTTTGTACCTCTCCCCTCTCCCCACTATCTCTATCTCTTTCAGTGTCTTTCTGTTGTTCTTTTGCTCTGCTTTTTTTGCTGCTGTTGTTGTCTGCGACGAATCAGTCTGCATATTAATGCGTCTCTGGACGCACATTAATGCATTGGATAATGAATAGCTCACTCGCAGTGAGTGAGAGGAAGAGAGAGAGAGCGCGCGCATGAGTGGGTGAGCGAGAGGGCGCTACACATGTACGTGCCTGGACATGACGTGCAATCATTTTAACCCCAATGACCCCAAAAAGTCAGGGCTGCCTTAGAAAGTTTCTTTTTCAATGCCATTAAGCAGACACACACACGCACACACACACACACGGACAGAGAGGCACACACACACACACACACTTCTCTCGTTTTTTTGATTGTGGTGCCACGCCCTGGCTGCCGCCCTCTTAGCAGCAAGCATAGCTTGTTTATGCCTCAGTCACATGTTAGCTGCAGCTTAGCCTTAGCCGTGCCACGCCCACTTCACAGGTGCCAGCTGGCAGCCACTTAAGGGACATGCCACTTGTTGCACGCATGCAGCATGCAGCATGCAGCATGCAGCTCAAACCAAATGATTTTCCCATCGACCTGACCCGACTTGACCCAACCCGAACCGAATCGACCTGCTCCGACCTGGCCTCCCGCTCGGCTCAGCCAAATTAGCCAAATAATTAATTAGAAAAAAGTTCCTTGGCGAGTTGAGCGCCCTTTGGGGCATGCAACAACTGATGCCAGCTGAATGTCTTTAATAAATTTATTGTGTATAGCAATTAGAATGTTGTGCCATATGTGTGTGACTGTCTCTGTGTGTGTGTGTGGGTGTGTGTGTGCTGGGACAGAGACCCAAAAGTTTACAATGCCTCAGTTACACATATACACACACATATATATGTATGCAAAAGGCCCAACTCATGTGTTGCGCCTAAAACAGGGCAAACATTTGTTGCCTGATTACTTTTAAATTATTTTGTGGCATCATTTCTGTGGCTCTGCGCCAGGCACAGCAACAACAACAACAACACGAATGTGCGGCCAGCCCGCAGAGCAGCAGGAGCAGGAGCAGGAGCAGGAGCAGCAGTGGTAGCGGCAGGAGACGGCTAAGGCGGAGGCTGGCATGCATAATCATAAATAAAAGACGCGCGACGGTCGGCGAGCGGCCGTCGTGCAGGAGGCGGGCGGCCAGGAGGGGAGGGGGCGTGCCAAAAAGGATCAGGATGACAGAGCTGCTGGAGGGGCATAGAAAAAGCTTTGAGGGCTTTTGTTGAAAATGGCAACACACACACACACACGAACACACAGACGAGCACACACACATGTGCGTAGGGGTAAACAGGATACGAGCAGGACACGCTGCGGCTGCTTTGGCAAAGGCAAAGGCAAAGGCGCCCAAGCATCTGGTTTATGGATAAGGCTGCTCTTTGAGGCGCCTCACATTATGATATGCTTAAACAGCACAAAACTGTTTAATTATTTATGGATGCTTCCCTTTGTCGATGGGCATGCCCCGGAACGTAACGGGAACGGAATGGGACGCAATGGGACGGCACGGTACGGCACGGCGTGGCACGGAGCCCATTTTGCTGGCAATCAGTGAAGCATGTGTGCTGCTGCTTGATGAAAAATCTTTGCACGCCAATCTTGTCACTGTGTATGCGTGTGTATGTGTGTGTGTGTGTGTGTGTGTCCTTCAATTGTAAATTAGCAAATCACTTAACCACTGTGCACAGTGGATCAAGGGAGAAGAGCGAGCCAGATCAAAGTCATAGATCGTAACAGCAACTCTCTCTCTCTCTCACTCTGCTTCTCACACTCCCTCTCTCTCACTCTCGCCCTCTGTGTGTGCTTGTGTCCAGCCAGCCAATGTTAGATTATAGAAATTATAATGCCAAGCAAGTGCTGGCCATTCCATTTGGGGCTGGCTTACAAAATGCTTAACATAAAACGCATCTCATGCAACCTTTTTAAAACTATACACAGCTCAGTTAAGTAAACAAATATATGTGTGTGTGTGTGTGTGTTGTGCTTTGCACAAATTAGTGAGCTCCTTTGTGCTTGGGCTAGGTTTAATATAATAAAACAAAACGCAACCCAAGGCAACCTTAAAAAAAAAAAAAAAAAACAAATAAAAAATAGAGGATAAAGAAACACAACATTCCTTTCATTTGCACAATAAGGCAAAGGGACATGGCACACCCACACACACACAGACATGAACACATGTGTAAAAAAGGACTCGAACATATGTCACATGTGGCGCACATCAAATGCGCTTATCAGTTGTTATACAGTTGTTCGTCCCTTGGCATTCCCTTGATTAATTCCGTCCACTTCTAAATTAAATACAACAAAATGAAAAAGTTTTCCATAAAATGAAATTCAGCGGCGAGAACTGCATAAATTATTAAATCGAATAAAATATGTTGTGCTATTTAGTTTCGCTTCAGCTCTAAATAGTTTTGATTTAATTTTATATAAGAATTTATTATTTCCATTTATGCATGATTGCACTCAAAATATAAACAGAAACTTGTAAATTGTTTCTACTCCTATTTTGATTTTTTTCTATATACATTTCGCAGTGCTTGATGTAAGCTTCTGGGAGCTAAAATTCCAGGTAACTTTTTTTTTTGTGAAATTGCAGCCTTAACAATGCGTACGCACTTCAAGTGCAACTCAAGTAGTTTCCAAATCATTGATAACCCATTGAACTAGTCGATAACAATCGATTCCCTAATTGGCATTGGCAGTCGCGCAGCGCACTGCACATAGTAATTCCATTCGGAGAATAGTAAGTGCAAGTAGAGGGAATCCCATTTGACGTATATTGCATTTTTTGCTGTTTCATTTGCTTTTCAAGTTTTGTCAAACGCTTATTGCATTGCGACACTATGCCATAAGCTGATAGAGTACAGCGGAGGTCGATAACAATCGGGTTCCTATTCGTCTCGATACATTATTGCTCATCTTTAAGCACTTATTGCACATCAAAAAGAAATAATCTTGTTAAATCACAGCGGATATCGATAAAAATCGATTTATTATCGCCAGTTGCCATCTCTAAGTTTTCCAAAGTATCATATCCTCTTCAGGCCACACAGATAGAACTCAGCAGCAGTCGCTGAGACTTGCACATGCGTAGGGTATTTGCTAGTCAGGCATTTACCTTGTCTTACCTATTTTGCCATAGAAACGAGTCATTTATCGCTCATCATTTATGAGCATATTTTTTTGTTGTTGAATTTTCGCATTAATTCGCTAATGCTTGTCGATTGCACTTCACTTGACTGCCAAATCGGTTGCAATCTGGCTCTGAAGAGCGGCTTGAGCGACCCGCACAATTAAATAAATATCAATTTATCGACCTTACACATGAGTTGGCCAGTCAAATCTGAAATTTTTTTAAAAATATGTTTATGTATATGTACATATATGTATGTTTCTAATTGCCGATTGGGAGTTGGAGCATAAGACTAGCTCCGCTATATCCCAGTTAAAGCTCTCTGTATATGAGATACTATATTTATATTGTAGATCTATAAACTATCTTTAATATATATATGGACTATAAACATCTATATATGTATATTGTAGATCTCTATTATTTCCTTAATATAAATGTATATATTTTCTGCAAATAAAACCCTACATATACCATATCATATACATGCATATTATTATATTTATTTAATATACATTCATGTAGTCTATGATATAATAGCTAATAGCTATATTCGAAACTCTCATATAGATACCACACTACAAGCCATTGGCCCCAAATGACTTCAGCTTAGAGATAATCTCGTTCCAATCGAAACTCAATCAATTTAAAGCTGAAAACT